AGCAAATCTCCCCTTCCCCACTCTTTTGATAGTCTGAAGAGGATCGATGGTTTGGATTGAGTGCCCCATAATTTTGTAGTCAGGTTCTTAATGGTGGACATTTATATTGTTTTCAACATTTTTCTGTTTGAAGTTAAGTATCCACATCATCACTCACAAGTTCAAGTATAACTGGAGGGTGATATCAGAAGTTGTTTGTTCAAAGGTTCAAAACTCCCCATTTACTTTCTTTTTTTTTTTAAATAGAGTTTCGCTCTTGTTGCCCAGGCTGGAGTGCAATGGCACAATCTTGGCTCACCTCAACCTCTGCTTCCCAGGTTCAAGCGATTCTCCTTCCTCAGCCTCCGAAGTAGCTGGGATTACAGGCACCTGCCACTACGCCCAACTAATCTTTGTATTTTTAGTAGAGATGGGGTTTTACCATGTTGGTCAGGTTGGTCTCGAACTCCTGACCGCCTCAGCCTCCTACAGTGCTGGTAACAGGCATGAGCCACTGCACCCAGCCTAAAACTTGCCATTTTCATAGTGATTTCCACGTTTTCTTAGAGATGGGGCAATTTATACTTCACAAGTAATAGATATACTCACCTGGCTGGGCATGGTGGCTCACGGCTGTAATCCCAACACTTTGGGAGGCCGAGACGGGTGGATCACCTGAGGTCAGGAGTTCAAGATTAGCCTGGCCAACATGGTAAAACCCCATCTCTACCAAAATACAAAAATTAGCCCAGCATGGTGGCAGGCACCTGTAATCCCAACTACTCAGGAGATTGAGGCAGGAGAATCACTTGAACCAAGGAGGCGGAGGTTACAGTGAGCTGAGATCACGTACTCCAGCCTGGGCGATAGAGTGAGACTCCTCAAAAAAAAAAAGTACTCGGCCGGGCGCGGTGGCTCAAGCCTGTAATCCCAGCACTTTGGGAGGCCGAGACGGGCGGATCACGAGGTCAGGAGATCGAGACCATCCTGGCTAACACGGTGAAACCCCGTCTCTACTAAAAAATACAAAAAAAACTAGCCGGGCGAGGTGGCGGGCGCCTGTAGTCCCAGCTACTCGGGAGGCTGAGGCAAGAGAATGGCGTAAACCCGGGAGGCGGAGCTTGCAGTGAGCTGAGATCCGGCCACTGCATTCCAGCCTGGGCGACAGAGAGAGACTCCGTCTCCAAAAAAAAAAAAAAAAAGTACTCACGTTCCACACATCCTCATCAGCCTCATGTCTTGTCACTTTTTATTTTTGTCAATCTGATAGGTGAAAAATGGTATCTCACTGTGATTGTTGCTTGCGATTCTATTTGTGAGGTTGAACATCTCCAACCATCACACCAACTTTGACCTTAGGTGCAGGTGGTCGAGCAAATTGTAAATCATTCATAGTTCAAGCACATTATCATCTTTGATGTATGCAAGGATCTCTCTCTCTCTCTTTTTTTTTTCTTTTGAGACGGAGATCACTCCATCACCCAGGTTGGAGTGCAATGTCGTGACCTTGGCTCACTGCAACCTCCACCTCCTGGGTTCAAGTGATTCTCCTGATCAGCCTTCCTGAGTTAGCTGGGATTACAGTGTGCATCACCAGCATGGCTAATTTTTGTATGTTTAGTAGAGACAGGGTTTCACCATGTTGGCGCAGGCTGGTCTTGAACTCCTGGCCCTGTGATCTGCTCAACTTAGCCTCCAATTGCTGGGATTACGGCGTGAGCACCAGGCCAGCCATCTTTTGTTACATTTGTTGTATTCTCTATTTTTTATGCCCCTTTCTTGTGATCTGGATGTTCTTGAAAAATGTGTATATTTTATTGAGTCTATGTTGTGTTTTAGAGCTGCTATTTCCCTTTTTTGTAACATTTTCTTTTATCTTTTGGCCGCTTGGCTACTGGATTTGTCTTTTTCTATTGATTTGTGTGGTCCTTCTTTTTTTCTTTTTTTTTTCTTTTTTTTTTGAGACAAAGTCTTTCTCTGTTGCCAGGCTAAAGTACAGTGGCCGATCTCAGCCTCACTGCAACTTCTGCCTCCTTGGTTTCAAGTGATTCTCCTGCCTCAGCCTCCTGAGTGCTGGGGCTACAGGCGCATGCACCATGGCCAGCTAATTTTTTTTTTTTTTTTTTGGACGGGAGTTTTGCTCCGGTCCTAGGCTGGAGTGCAGCGGCGCAGATTCTCGGCTCACTGCCAGCTCCGCTCCCGGGTCACGCCATTCTCTGCCTCAGCCTCCCGAGTTGTGGGACACAGGCGCCCCCACTAGCCAGCTAATTTTTGTATTTTTAGCAGAGATGGGGTTTCCCGTGTTAGCCAGGATGGTCTTGATCTCCTGACTCGTGATCCGCACCACCCGGCCTCCAAGTGCTGGGATTACGGCATGAGCCACCGCGCCTGGCCTAATTTTTGTATTTTTAATAGAGGATGGGGGTTTCACCATGTTGGCCAGATGGTCTCATCTCTTGACCCTGTGATCGCCACGCTTGGCCTCCCAAGGTGGCTGGGCGCGTAAGCCACCGCCGCCCCGCTCCTTTTGCCAAGAGGACTTTTGCTTTTGCTCTTTCCTCTGAGTGGAATGCCTTTCCTTTCTTTCTCTCCTCATCTAGTTAATGCGCTTCTCTTTAGATTCTATCCCCTCCTCTGGGAAGGCTTCTCTGCCACCCAGCTAAGACCAATCTTCTCTGTTCACACTATCTCCCAGCACCCAGTACTAGATCACCCTGGATCACAATAGCTGCTGAATGAATGATGATGAATGATGAATGATGAAGGCATCAGGTGGTGACGGCAGGTTGAATGTTAAAAAATTTATTAAATGTCCAAGAGTACATAATATCCCCAGTGTCAGTCCACGACTCACAGACCTGACAGCTCACAGCAAACCAGCAGACTCAAGCCTTCACACGCACACACACTCATGCGTGCACGCCATGGGCCACGCAGACACACACGCACATCCAAAGGGAAAGATCAAAAGACAAACCACCACTTAGAAAGACCGAGCCCCCTCCCACCGTGGAGCCGAGGTGGGGCAGGCAATGGCTGAGGGGCGCCAAGGGGCAGGCAGCTACCAAGACCCCCCAAAAAACATTGCATCCCAGACCCCTGCATCCACCAGCCCCCACAAACAAAGGAAATTTTTGTGTGACATGGATGACCAAAGATGTGTTATTTTATTATTTTAAATTAAGAAGAGTTATCAAAGTAGAGACAAACCTGTATCCTGGTTTCTGAATAATAACCATAATAAGATAGATGTCTACAGGGAGGAGATTGAGACAAAGATCAGGGTTCAGTTTACATTCTTAACCATCTCTAAATGTGTATGAGGGGTGCAATTATGTTTCAGTCTCCTCTCAGAGTCCAGAGCAGGATTTGGGTCAGAGCCAAGATAGGGGTTGGCTCTGACTCCTGGATTGGAGATAAGGATCTGGTGATGAAGATCAAGTTTATAAGGAGAGCCAAGTTCTTACTCCAAATCCTTACTCCTGTGGTTTGTGACTTCAAGCCAGTTACCTTTCCTTTATATCTGAGCCTGTTTCACTGTGTGTAAAATGGGAAAGTAACAGTTTCTAAAGGTCATGGGCTATTGAGAAAATTCAGGAGATTGTATGTAAATGCTTAGCATGGTGTCTACTTCTTAGTTGTAATGGGTCGATTATTACTTCCCAAGAGGGATTCGGCTCAATTAACACATTTCTTTCTTTACTGACCCCTAGGAGGTCCAGCATTTGTTATTTTTCTTTCCTGAAGAGGGCATTTTCCACAGTGTTTTTAACCCTAATCACAGATTTTACCCAGACTGCTGAAAGTGGGTACACGACATGGAGGAAAAGCTGTAGGATCTTTCCTGCAGAGATGAGGGAACTGGATCCTGGCCTTGGGTGTGGGGACTCACAGGTTGCCATTTGGGGGAGGAGACACGGTGAGTTCTTTCCACTTAAAAAAATTAAAATCTACAAGAGAAAATGTGTATGTGTGTGTGTGGTGTGTGTGTGTGTGTTTCAGTTTTAACACTGGCATCTCTTACAATATGACCGCAGGTAGGTGTCACTACTTCAAGTTTAAGTGTTCTGACCCCAGGCAATGGCCAGGGAAAAGGGTGGGGTGGGGCAGGGGTGGGACCCAGGGCAGGGGCCTACCAATGTCTGCTTGAGGACGTGGGTACGGGCACTGGGCTAGAAAACTTGGCGGCACCTCTTGGTCCAGGAAGGAGGTTCTTTGTCTCCCTGAGAGATGGAGGGGGAAGAATCTGGGCTCATCTAGCCCAAATTCCTCTCGGTCTATTTTGTGTGAAAGAGATTAAATCACACTAGCAGAACCACCAAATCTCAGCACTGGACTAGCCTGGAAGGGTTAGCATACACTCTCCCTCCATCCCTAATATGTTTGATTATTCTCACTCCTAACTCTGATGGCATGGAGGGAGGTTGTCCTAAAACTCCCTAAATGCAGTACATCGGATTTCCACACTGTATGTGTTTATCCACCAAGACCAAGACGGAACTTGGCCTGAAGCCCAGGGTGTAAAGGGAGCTGTTGTCAGGTTCCAAAAACAGTGTGCTTCTGTGTAGCCTTCTGTTCCCAAAGCTAATGACCCTACGTCCAGGCTTCTTCTGGATTAGGAATCAGCCTACATTGACTAAGTCTGAATTTCTGTGTGAAAAGCTTCCTTCATGTGAATCAACATACACTCATGCACCCCTCATCAAGGCCTGGCTTCAATCAGCCTGGCAACAAGAGACCAGACCAATGAAGCTTTGCTATTGTGCTTCCCTCAGCTGGGGAGATGCTCCCAGAGTTTCAGCCAGACGAGAGATGGACTTTTCAGACACTGGCTCCACCTGCCAAGAGGATCTTGCGTATGTAAAAAAGGGAAGAGGAGCTTTGTAAAAGGATTATATGTGGGGGATGTGGTTTGGGGGTTCGGGGACTTCTGGACTCTCTTGTTTCCTGGTTCTGTCTCCCCAGGGGAAGGCTCCAGAGGGAGGCGTGGGAAAGGTGTTGTGCTTTCTTTTTTTGGTTCTTCAGCAGTAAATTTCCTTCATCCTCTCTCCCAGTCTCCATGGGTGCTTTCTTGTGTTTCTGCGTCCTTGGTGGGAATTTGTGGTGGTGATGCTGGTTGGTGTGTTGGTGGTAGGTGGTGGTGTCGCCCGCATCCGATGTGAACGTCTGGCTGCAGGGTAAGGGGAGGAGCAGGGGAAAGGGACAAAAGTGGTGAGAAGCGGTGGCCTGAGCATGGGTCTCCTCCAGGAGAGAAGTAGGGGAAAGCGGCCAGACTGAGGGCTCATCCCTGTCATCCCAGCACTTTGGGAGGCCAAAATGGGAGGATCTCTTTGAAGCCAGGAGTTTGAGACCAGCCTGGGCAACATAGCAAGACCCTGTCTCTTACAAAAATCAAAAATTAGCCAGGCATGGTGGCACATGCCTGTAAGTCCCAGCTATTTGGGAGGCTGAGTTTGGGAGATCCCTTGAGCCTGGGAGGATGAGGCTACAGTGAGCTGTGGTTGAGCCTCGCACTCCAGCCTGGGCAACAGAGTGAGACTCTGTTCCAAAAAAAAAAAAAAAAAAAAAACCCAAAAACCAGGCCGGGTGTGATGGCTCACGCTTGTAATCCCAGCACTTTGGGAGGCTGAGGTGGGCAGATCACCTGAAGTTAGGAGTTCAAGACCAGCCTGGCCAACATAGCGAAACCCTGTCTCTACTAAAAATACAAAAATTAGATGGGCATGGCGGTGAACACCTGTGATCCAGCTACTCAGGAGGCTGAAACACAAGGATCGCTTGAACCCGGGAGGTTTCAGTGAGCTGAGATTGTGCCACTGCACTCCAGCCTGGGCAACAGAGCAAGGCTCCATCTCAAACACACACCCACACACACACACAACACACACACACACATACAAATGAAGGAAACATCAGACAGGCTGGTAAGTCTTACTATCTGCAAGGCTGTATTATCAGGCAGACATTAAGCCAGATCAATGCGTGGAGTAATAGGATGTCTTAATTGGAAACTAGAAATACCAAAAACCTATGTTGAAGTCTCTGGGAGAAGCTACTTACGTTTGGTGCAGACAATTTGGGGCCTGTCCCACTTGCCATTGCTCCGGCATCGAATGGTGGCACATGGTGCTGGGCAAATCCTTCATTGCACTGGTACCTTACAGTGGCATGGACATTGTACTTGGCCTTGCGGGTACCGATGAGTGAGGCATTCTCCACTGCTGGAGGGGGACCACAGAGCCTGGGACAGAGGAATCTCCGGTGAGAGAAGTGCTCACATCTGGGCTAAACTAGTTGTGTTGTATGAGCAGAGTTTGTCTGTCACCTAGGCTGGAGTGCAGTGACGCACTCTTGCCTCACTGCAACCTCCGCCTCTCTGGTTCAAGCGATTCTCCTGCTCAGCCTTCCAAGTAGCTGGGATTATGGGCACCAGCCTGTAATCCACACCTGGCTAATTTTTGTATATATTTTTTCTTGTTTTCAGACAGGGTCTCACTCTCTCTCCCAGACTGGAGTGCAGTGGCGTGATCTTGGCTCACTGCAACCCCTGCCTCCCATACTCAAGTGATTCTCTGCCTCAGCCTCCCAAGGAGCTGGGATTACAGACATGCACCACCATACCTGGTTAATTTTTGTATTTTTAGTAGAGACCTGGTTTCGTCATGTTGGCCAGGCTGGTCTTGAACTCCTGACCTCAGATGATCTGCCTGGCTTGGCCTCCCAAAGTGCTGGGATACAGGTGTGAGCCACTGTGCCTGGTTCTTGTTTTTAAAAGAGGGTCTTCCTCTGTCGCCCAGGCTGGAGTGCAGTGGCACAATCACAGCTTACTGCAGCCTCAACCTCCCAGGCTCAAGGGATCCTCCCAACTCAGCCTCTCAGTAGTTGAGACTACAGGTGCGCACACCAAGCTAGTTAATTTTTTGATTTTTTGTAACGATGGGGTCCCACTATGTGCCCGGGCTGATTTTGAACCCATGGGCTCAGCGATCCTCCCTCCTCGGCCTCCCAAAGTGCTGGGATGACAGGCATGAGCCACCATGCCTGGTGGCCGTAAACTTGTTTTGAGTTTTATTGGAAATGATACCTGCCTCAGACGTCAACAGGTCTTTGCCCAGTTCTGATCTCACAGGGCTGGAAGTGACTGTGTCTGTCTGTCTCTTCTACCCAAATCAGCAGCTCCTTAGGGACAGCAACCTCCTGGCACACCTCACTATCTAATTCTTAGGTGTGCACAATGGGAGTGAAGGAGACAGAAGGCAGATAATTATCTAAGCAAATAAAGGCTGGGTGCGGCAGCTCACACGTGTAATGCCAGCACTTTGGGAGGCTGGGCGGAAGGATTGCTTCAGTCCGGGAGTTTGAGACCAGCCTGGGCAACACAGCAAAACTCCTGTCTCTACAAAAAATTTAAAAATAAGGTCTGGGTGTGGTGGCTCATGCCTGTAATCCCAGCACTTTGGGAGGCCGAGGTGGGCAGATCACAAGGTCAGGAGATCGAGACCATCCTGGCTAATACGGTGAAACCCCAAAATACAAAAAATTAGCCAGGTGTGGTGGTGGGCGCCTGTAGTCCCAACTGCTGGGAGGCTAAGGCAGGAGAATAGCGTGAACCTGGGAGGCAGAGCTTGCAGTGAGCCAAGATCGCACCACTGCACTCCAGCCTGGGCGACAGAGCAAGACTCCATCTCATAAATAAATAAATAAATAAATAAGCCAGGCATGGTGGTGTGCACCCACAGTCCCAGCTACTGGTAAGACTGAGGTAGGAGGGTTACTTGAGCCCTGGAGTTCAAGTGATCTGCAGTGAGCTGTGATAATGCCACTGTACTCCAGCCTGGGCAACCATCGCAAGACCCTGTTACAAAACTAAATACATGAATAAATGGGGAGGGGGGAGGATGTGAAAATTGACAAAGAAATGGAAGCAAACACGAACAAAAGTATAAGAGAAAGGTGGACATACAAATGTATACAAATGATTTCTTTCATATATAAAGATCTCTTAAAAATCAGCAAGATCAAGTCAGTTCATAGGGAAAGACATACATGCCACAGCCTGTCAACATATAAACAGTTGGTTAGGCCAGGCATGGTGGCTCACACCTGTAACCCCAGAACTTTGGGAGGCTGAGGTGGGCAGACTACTTAAGGTCAGAAGTTTGAGCCAGCCCTGGTCAACATGGTGAAACCCCATCTCCACTAAAAATAAAAATAAAAAAAAATTAACCAGGTATGGTGTGTGCCCATAATCCCAGCTACTCGGGAGGCTGAGGCAGGAGAATCGCTTGAACCTGGGAGGCAGAGGTTGCAGTGAGCTGAGACTGTAACACTGCACTCCAGCTTGATGACAGAGTGACTCCATCTCAACAAACAAAAACAATTGGTTATTCTCATCCTTAAAGGCATGCAAACTAAGATAACAATGAGATACTATCTTCCTCACTTAGATGAACAAAGAACAAAAGTTTGAGAATGTGCAGAGTTGGCAAGGGTGGGAGGAAACAAGCACTCTCACACGCTGATGGAAAGTGAGAACTGGCTGGGCTGACATTTACCAACTTAAAAAGATGAAAGCCGGGTATGGTGGCTCACACTTGTAATCCCTGCCCTTTGGGAGGCCGAGGTGGGTGGATCACCTGAGGTCAGGAGTTCGAGACCACCCTGCCCAAGATGGCAAAACCCCCGTCTCTACTAATAATATAAAAATCAGCTGGGCGTGATGGCATACGCCTGTAATACCAGCTTCTCAGGAGGCTGAGGCAGGAGAATCACTTGAACCTGGGAGGTGGAGGTTAAAGTGAGCTGAGATCATGCCACCGCACTCTAGCCTGGGCAACAAGAGTAACACTGTCTCCAAAAACATAAATAAATAAATAAAAATAAAATAAGAATAAATTTAAAAATATATATATAATGCCACCCACCTCGGCCTCCCAAAGTGTTGGGATTATAGATGTTAGCCACCCCGCATGGCCTATTTCCAGAACTTTTTCATCACGACACACCAAAATTCTGTATCCATTGGGCACTAGTGACTCCCTCTTCTCCCGACCCCTGTCCCCTAGCAAACACTAATCTACTTCCTCTATCTAAATTTGCCTACTCTGAATGCTTCATGAAAAAAAAAAATGAATCAAGCCTGGGCACAATGGCTTATGCATATGATCTCAGCACTTGAGAGGCTGAGGCAGGCAGATTACTTGAGCCCAGGAGTTTAGACAGCCTGGGCAACATGGCAAAACCCCATCTCTACAAAAAAATACAAAAATTATCTGGGCAGGTTGGTGCATGCCTATAGTCCCAGCTACACGGGAGGCTGAGGCAGGAGGATCGCTTGAGCCCAGGAGGTGGAGGCTGTGATGAGCCATGATTATGCCACTGCATTCCAGCCTGGGCAACAGAGAACCAGTGAGCAAAAGTGACAGAGAGGAAAAGGAGCAGGGGGCACCGCATACCTGTGCCCTTCTTGCAGACATAGGGTAGGTTGTAGTTGCAGGGGACATCATTCCAGCGCCCGCTTTCATGCGCCACCATCACCACACAGTCCTCGCCACCCGCAAAGAAATTGTCCGGCTGGTTCTCTCGCCAGTTCTCGAATTGCTGCAGGAATAGGGGGGCGGGGAGTTGTTCAGGGGACCTCTGTTGCAGCCCAGGTTCTGGCACTTCCTGCTGTGGGACTCCCCTGGCCAGACCCCTCAAACTCACAGGGATTCAGTGTTCCCATCTCTACAATGGCCACTGTCCTGCCCATCCTGAGGGGGGCCACCACTGTCATCCAAGCCACCATTCCTGTGGCTTGGAAGCTGCATCATCCCCCTCCCTGGTCCTCCTGCCTCCCTGGGTGCCTGGCCGCACCCAGTTCATTTTCACATGAATCAGTGTTAGATAAATGGTGGGACAAGGCCGGGCCTGGTGGCTCATGCCTGTAATCCTAGCACTTGGGAGGCCACGGTGGGCAGATCACCGGAGTCGGGAGTTCGAGACCTGCCTGGTCAATATGGTGAACACCGTCGCCACTAAAATAAAAAAAAAAATTAGCCAGGTGTGGTGGGTGTGCTCCTGTAATCCCAGCAGGACAATTTCTTGAACCTGAGAGGCAGAGGTTGCAGTGAGCCAAGATTGCACTATGGCACTCCAGCCTGGGCGACAAGACCAAGACTCCGTCACACACACAAAAAAAGATAAATGGTGGGACAAATGGTGATCTCAGCCCGAAGTCCAGGAGGACTCCCTAAGGAGGCAATGTGAGAGTAAAGAATCAAAGATGGTAAGGATTCAAGGCCGGGCACGGTGGCTCACGTCTGTAATCCCAGCATGTTGAGAGGCCAAGGGGGGCAGATCACTTGAGGTCAGGAGTTCAGGACCACCTTGGACAACAAGGTGAAACCCTGTATCTAATAAAAATACAAAAATTAGTCGGGCACGATGGTGCGTGCCTGTAGTCCCAAGCTACTCAGGAGGCTGAAGCAGGAGAATCGCTTGAGCCTGGGAGGCAGAGTGAGCTGGGTTGCACCGCTGAACTCCAGCCTGGGTGACAGAGTGAGACTCTGTCTCAAAAAAAAAAAAAAAAAAAGTAGTAAGGGTTCAGACAGGGAACAGCATTCCTAGCAAAGGGGACCACCAGTGTGAAGGCTCAGAGGCAGGACTGAACTTGAACTTGTTCTGCTTGAGGAACAGACAAAGCCTAGTGAGGCTGGAGCTGTGTGATGGGGCTGGGGTATGCTCAGAGAGTGGAGAGGGACCAGATCTTGCATTAGAGGAAAGGAGGTGAATTTTTAGAAACGGTGGCAAAATATATATAGCACAAAATTCCTAATTTTAACCATTTTTGTTTTGTTTTGTTTTGAGACAGAGCCCAGGCGGGAGTGCAGTGGCGCGATCTTGCTCACTGCTACCTCCACCTCCCGGGTCCTGGTTCAAGCAATTCTCCTGCCCCAGCCTCCCGAGTAGCTGGGATTACAGGCATGCGCCACTATGCCCAGCTAATTTTTGTATTTTTAGTAGAGACGGGGTTTCCCCATGTTGGCCAGGCTGGTCTTGAACTCCTGACCTCGCGATCCACCCACCTCGGCCTCCCAAACTGCCGAAATTACAGGCTTGAGCTACCACACCCAGCCAATTTTAACCATTTTTACGTGTGCAGTTTATTTTTATTTTTATTTTTTTGAGACAGAGTCTGTATTACTCAGGATGGAGTACAGTGGTGCGACCTTGGCTCACTGCAATTTCTGCCTCCCAGGTTCAAGAGGCGGTGTGCAGTTTAATACATTAATTACATTCACAATGTTGCATAACCATCACCATTATTTCCAGAACTTTTTTTTTGAGATGGAGTCTCTTTCTGTCGCTCAGGCTGGAGTGCAGTGGTGTGATCTTGGCTCACTGCAACCTCCAGTTTCCGGGTTCAAGCGATTGTCCTGCCCCAGCCTCTGAGTAGCTGGGATTACACATGCGCTCCACCACGCCCAGCTAATTTTTGTATATTTAGTAGACACAGGGTTTCACCTGACCAATAGGTCAGGCTGGTCTTGAACTCCTGACCTCGTGATCCACCTACCTCGGCCTCCCAAAGTGTTGGGATTACAGGCGTGAGCCACCCCGCGTGGCCTATTTCCAGAACTTTTTCCTCATGACACACCAAAATTCTGTCCCCATTGAGCACTAGTGACTTCCCCTTCTCCCGACCCCTGTCCCCTGGCAAACACTAATCTACTTCCTGTCTCTAAATTTGCCTACTCTGAATGCTTCATGAAAAAAAAAAATCATACAACAGCTGGCCTTTTATGCTTGGCTCATTCCATGTTTTGTTTATTATTTTATTTTATTTTATTTTGGAGCCCGAGTCTCGCTCTGTCTCAATTTTTGAATTTTTTGTAGAGATGGAGTTTCGCCATGTAGCTCAGGCTGGCCTCGAACTCCCAACTTTAGGTGATCCACTCGCCTTGGCCTCCCAAAGTGCTGGGATTACAGGCATGAGCCACCCACCGCACCCGGCCTGTTTTGTTTTGTTTTGTTTTGTTTGAGACAGCGTCTTGCTCTGTCACCCAGGCTGGAGTGCAGTGGTGCAATCATAGGTCACTGGAGCCTCGAACTCCTGGGCTGCAGCGATCCTCCTACTTTGGCTTCCCCAAAGTGCTAGGATTACAGGTGTGAGCCACCACACCCAGCCTCTTTTTCTTTCTTAGTATAAAATTTTTTTTGTTTTGTTTTGTTTTTTAGAGATGGAGTCCTGCTCTGTTGCCTAGGCTGGAGTGCAGTGATGTGATCTCGTCTCACTGCAACTTCTGCCTCCCGGGTCCAAGTGATTCTCCTGCCTCAGACTCCCAAGTAGCTGGGATTACGGGTGCGCGCCACCATGCCCAGCTAATTTTTGTATTTTTAGTAGAGATGGGGTTTCACCACATTGGCCAGGCTGTTCTGGAACTCCTGACCTCAAGTGATCCGCCTGCCTCAGTCTTCCAAAGTGCTGGGATTACAGGCGTGAGCCACTGTGCCCAGCCTGTTTGTATAAATTTAAAGGGTACAAGTGCAATTTTATTACATGCATATGCATATAATAAAATATATATTGTCTACTAGCAAAGTCTTGGCTTTTAGTGTATCCGTGACCCGAATAATGTACATTTTTGTACCAGTTTGAATCTCTGTTTTCAATTCTTCTGAGTATGTATCTAGGAGTAGAATTGCTGGGTCATATGGTAACTCTATGTTTAACTTTTTATTTTTATTTTTATATTTTTAGAGATGGGGGGTCTCACTGTGTTGCCCAGGCTGGATTCCAATTCCTAGGCTTAAGTGATCATCCCGCCTCAGCTTCCCGAGTAGCTGAGACTACAGGCGCGTACCACTGTACCCAGCTTCTATGTTTAACTGTATGAGGAACAGCCAGATTTTTACATAGCGGGAGAAGGGGAATTTTTATCTTGAGAACAATGGAGAGTCTGGAAGGGCTTGAAGCAGGGAGGATGCTGACCTAATATGTTTTTAGAGACAGGGTCTCGCTCTGCACCCAGGCTGGAGTGCAGGTCACTGCAGCCTTGAACTCCTGGACTCAAGTGATCCTCCTCAGTCTCCCAAAGTGCTTGGGATTACAAGCATGAGCCACCAGCCTGGCCTAGAAATTTTATATTATATTATATATATTTTTTTTTTTTTCTTTTTTTTTTTGAGACGGAGTCTTGCTCTGTCGCCCAGGCTGGAGTGCAGTGGCGTGATCTCAGCTCACTGCAAGCTCCGCCTCCCGGGTTCATGCCATTCTCCTGCCTCAGCCTCCCGAGCAGCTGGGACTACAGGCGCCTGCCACCACGCCTGGCTATTTTGTTGTATTTTTTAGTAGAGATGGGGTTTCACCATGTTAACCAGGATAGTCTCAATCTCCTGACCTCGTGATTCGCCCGCCTTGGCCTCCCAAAGTGCTGGGAGTACAGGCATGAGCCATCACGCCCGGCCTATATATATATATATATTTGTTTTGTTTTGTTTTGTTTTGAGACAGAATCTCGTTCTATCATCACCTAGGCTGAAGTGCAGTGGCGTTATTTTGGCTCACTGCAACCTCCACCCCACAAGTTCAAGCGATTCTCGCACCTCAGCCTCCCGAGTAGCTGGGATTAGAGGCATACGCCGCCACGCCTGGCTAATTTTTATATTTTTAGTAGAGATGGGATTTCACCATGTTGGCCAGGCTGGTCTCAAGTGATTTGCCCACCTTGGCCTCCCAAAGTGCTGGGATTACAGGCGTGAGCCTCCATGCCCAGCCTAGAAATGAGAATATTTGAGAGACTATGGCTGGGGGACCAGGCAGAGTGAGTAGGGGAGGCGTCAGACCCTAGTCTCAGGTTTGTAACCTCTGCAGCTAGGTGGGCACGGTCTGTTTACCTGGGCTGGGGAAGTCAGGGGAGAAGGCCTTTACTTGAAGCTCCTTTGCCAACTCCAGCATCTTAGAGCCACTAGAGACCTTTGACACCCAATTGAGATAACTTTGCACAAAAGGGTAACTGAGGCCAGATGGCAGGCCTGATGCAGCTCGCAGCCTAGGCCTGGCAGCCCCCGCCACTCACCAGCCCGGTGTTGTCCCGTCCACTGGAAATTCCCTCTCCACGATCCTGTCGTTCAGGCCGATCCACGTGTTTTCGTGCCCAAAGCCTGCAGGGTCGGGGGTTGTGGGTCTGGGTGTTCACCCATGCCTCTTCCGCCAGGGCGGAGGCGCAGGTGAGATGGGGTAGGGTGTGGGAGGAAGAATCCTCACCTTCCCAGCCTGGAGGTGGGCTGGGTGGGGGGAAAGATCTAGGAAGGTGGAATCAAAGGGAAGAGGCGGGTACAGGGATGGAGGAGGATCCAGAGCCCCTTCCTCAGCCTCTCTATGGGCGGGGGGCCGGGTGAGGTATGTGTGGGGAGGGGAAGACCCAGTCCCTTCCTCAGCCTGGAGTGGCTGGAGGTTGAGGTGGAGAGCGAAGGAGATAGAAGTGAAGTTTACGAGGTTAAGGAAGACACAGGTGCCTCCCCAGCCTCTGTAAGAGCTGGAGAAGGGAAGTGGGGGAGGGAGAAGGAGAGAGAAGAGGGGGGAGGAGGGAGAGGAGAAAGGAGGAGGAGTGAAAAGGGAGGAGGGGGCAGGAGTAGGAAGAAGGATGGGGGAGGAGGGAGGAGAATGGAAGGGAGGAGGAGGAGCAGGAGGGAGAGGGGGAGGAATGAAAGGAGGAGGGGGAAGAGAAAGGGAGAAGATCAGTGGAAGAGGAGGGGAGTGAGAGAGAGATGGGAGGAGAAAGGAGGAGGAGATGAGTAGATAAGAGGAAGGCAGAGGAAAATGGAAGGGAGGAAGGGAGAGAAAAAGAGAGGAGGAAGAAAAGGAGGAGAAGGAGGAGAAAGGATGAATGGAAGGAGGAGGGAAAGAGTTAGTGAAGGAGCAGGGAGAAAAGAGTGGAGAAGAGAGGAGTGGGAGGGAAATGGGGAGGAGAAAGGAGAGGAGTGGAAGGGAAGAGAAGAGCAAGAGGGAAGGGGGAGGGAAGAAGGAGGAGGAGTTAGAAGGGAGGAGGCCTGGGGAGGAGCTAAGGAGGAGGAGATGAATGGAGGAGGAGGAGGCAGGCATGAGGAAAGGAAGAGAAAGTAGAGAACGATGAGTGGAAGGAGAGGAGGGGGGAGAGAGGGAGAGAGGAGAGAGGGGAGAGGGGAATGGAAGGAGGAGAGGGAGTAAGGGTAGGGAGGATGAAGATGGCGAAAGGAGGTGGAGCAATTGAGTTGGACAGGAGGAGGAGGGGGAGGGAGAGAGGGGAAGGACTAAGAGGGAGGAGGAGAAAGGATGGGAGGAGAGGGGAGGAAGAGGAGTGGAGTGAGGGGAGGGGAAGAAGTGGGTAGGGAAGATGGGGAGGTAGGAGGGGAGAGCAAGGAGGCAGAGGCAGGGTCGGGGGGGCAGGGCATGAACCCCTCTCCCTCTCTTCAGTGTAGGCTGCAGGTCGCGTCCTCCCTCCCCTCGAAAAGCATAGGACTCTGGCTACCCTCTATTTAGAGGGGGTGAGGCATGGGAAGACCGGAATCTAGCCCAGCCGTATGCCAGGGTTTGTAGAGCCAGGGAGAAGCAGGAAATAAACCCAGGCACTGTCACATCTTTCAGAATGAGAAATTAGGGACAGGAGACACCAGTGGGCGCCTGGATGGGCAGACAGAGAGAAGGGCGCGAGCCAGTCACTCAGGAGGGAGGTGGCCCGGTGGGATACGTCAAGGAAAAAGAAACAAGCGAACCAGGGAAGGAAGAAACGAAGGAGTCAACGAGGGATGGGATGGCGGCAAACAGAATAAACAGAATAAATGGGCATGGATGAGCAAAAGGCAGAGGATAATGAATAAATCAATAAGTTCCCAGATGATTCCATGCAATGCAACACTTTGTCTCTCTCCTAGGTCTTTGCAAGGCTCATTCCTTATTTCATGCCAACAATCCAGGTACTTCCCCCATCACCCTCCATCTCTTGGCCCCTGTTTTGATTTCAGCACACATAGGATCCGTTGAATTACAGTATAGACTTATTCACTTAGATATTTACTTGTTTTCTATATCCTCCCAAGAAACGGTCACTCCCTAGGACGCGACAGAGCAAATTCTCAGCATTGATCACTGCTATGCTGTGTCAGTGTTCTTGGAATGGTGCTGGCACACAGCAAGGTCTCAGTAAACTATTTGCGTGAATGAATGAATGAATGAATGCATGAAGTGAATGTATTGAATTATACAAGTTGCTCTCAATTGACATTTCTGCCATTTAAGAACGCAGTCAGGGCTCGCATTAATCAACACAGCTTTGGAACATGTCGAAATGTGTAACGGCTCTTCGAAAAACCTTTGAAGGGATGCCCTGGCAAAATGGACCATACAAGTGCACCCCCTGCTGCTCACTCCCTCCCAGGCAGGTGGCCCTCCATCCCCAGAGCCCTACACTATTAGATGAGCTGTGTGTCCTCTGGTTGATGGGAACGTGGACTGGTATCTAGTCGAGCTCGGAGATGCGGCCAGTTGACCGGCAGTCCCTCTCGCATCTTCCCCATGCCTCCGGTGGGGCCAATGGCTGGGCAAGTGTGAAGAGTCAGCGTGTTAACAGTGGCCCTGGAACTTGTGCCAGCCCGCCCGGTCACAGCCCTCGGTGTCTGGGAGATGGGATAGGAGCGTGAGGGGGGGGCTGGCCTTGGCCCAAGGCCTCACCAGGCGTGAGCACAGCCAGCCCACCAGAGAGAGGGCCCAATCCAAGGTCACTGTGGCGAGATCACCCTCTCCCATGCCTGGCCCCTCCTCTGAGGCTCTGCTCTCCTGACCCTTTCACCTTCCCATATTGACTTCTTTTTTTTTGGACAGCGGTCTCACTCTGTTGCCCAGGCTGGAGTGCAACGGCACAATCTCGGCTCACTGCTACCTCCGGCCTACCACACTCAAGGCAATCCTCCCACCTCAGCCTCCGGAGTTAGCTGGGGATTACAGAGATGTACCATCGTGCTCAGACTAATTTTTGTACTTTTAATAGAGATGGGTTTCACCATGTTGTCAGGTTGATCTCAAACTCCTGGCCTCAAGTGATCTGCCCACTCAGCCTCCAAAATGTGGGGATTACAGCCGTGAGCTACCACACTGGCCAAATCTTAACGTCTTTTCTTTGTTTCTGGAAGAGATTTAAGTGGGAGATCAGTCTCTGACACCCCCTCTCATTCCAGTGCTGAAATCTCCTTCTCTGATGTCAGGGCCACATCCTTTGTATGGACATGGGAGCTCAGACATTTCTCCACAGAAGACATACAAATGACCAACAAGCACATGAAAAGATGCTCATTGTCAATGTCAAAAACCACCATGAGATACTTCACACCCACTAGGATGGAGATATTATATATATATTTTTGAGATGGAGTCTCACTCTGTCGCCCAGGCTGGAGTGCGATGTCTCGATCTTGGCTCACTGCAGCCTCCACCTCCCAGGTTCAAGCAATTCTCCTGCCTCAGCCTCCTGAGTAGCTGGGATTACAGGCGCGTGTCACCACGCCGGGCTAATTTTGTAATTTTAGTAGAGACAGGGTTTCTCCA